CCATACTTATGTCATTTTTGTGCATCTTTAGTCGATTTCGACGAATAATTCATTTTTTACGTCATTTTTACTGCTTTTTGGTGATTTTGTCGATTTTAATGCCCTTTTAATGGTACTTGCTTCAAACAATATTTACGAGGTTCAAAAAATGTTCACCACAGAATTACTAAGTACTCGAAGTCGATTTCTTCACTCATTACATATTGTAATGTCAGCCGTGTGAATACTGTGTAATCTAAGGTTCTTTTAAGGCGCCATTGTGAGTTCGGCCGATTTTGCGATAAATAAAGGCAAAGATTTATTTCAAAGAACAGTCCAATCCCAAATTTTGCAAGCCAAGTTCACTTTAACAAAAGGAAGAAGCCTCAATTACATCAGTAACCTATCCTTCAGGCTGAATTGTTCATTTGAATTGGTTTTGAGCAAATGTTTTACGTAATTTTTCTTTGTTTTTAGAACATTTTGAAGCATTTTAAGAGAAGTTTATTGATCATTTTTGGCAATGATTTAGATCATCAGTATCTATCCTCTTGTAATGAGGCAGTCAATTATAAAATGCATGAGCTAATTATGAAATTTTGCCTTCATGTGGGTAGGTATCGCCAGTAGAATATATGAGCGAGAAACTAAAGTTCTAGGAGAGTAAGGTTCATTGCAAAATTTACTTCTATAGTATAGGTACGGTGGATTACTGGTTGATAAACTATTTATGATAAAGATACAATTCTGTAAAAGCCATCGACTGCGTACATATTGCCTTCCTAAATCAAGAAATGAAGTTATGGTCATGGATTGTGTCGTCATATCTCCTAATTAAATAAGCCAAACTAGACATGTATTCTGTATCTTCTGAACTCTATTTTTTGATATTCTTGAAAGGAATGAACCATATGTATTAGCAGAATTGAATAGAGTAGAGACAGAAGCATTGATTCAATCAGTAGAAGTTTCAATTTTCTAGTAAAGAAATTTCGCCTTTCACTATGAATACAGGCCCCAGAGCCGCAGGAGCGTCAATCAACGCGGCGCTGCCAACAAGGACACTTCGCCCCCGCCAGCAACGCCCCTGATGATGCCTGCCACAGTTGCAGGCGAAACGTATGGACAAGTCTCCATTGGACCACGGCCTTCAAGCCCGAAAACAACTGATTTTGATGAAAGAAATTTCTCTACGAAAAAAATCTCGCAGGATACCATAAGTTTAAAGACATTTCAAGTTCACATGATCATTAATATTCCGTTCAGGGTTAGCCACCACACTCAGCATATCGAGCGATTCCGTACGAGGGACAGATACATCATTAATTGTAAGCATATCAGCATAGTCGACCAATCTACGTGATGGATCAAAAGATAATAAGACGTATTGTCATTTATAACAAGAGCATTGTCAGAGTACCATTTCACTATCATCTGAAAGTCATTACTCGCCATATCGACGGCATCATAATAAAAAAACAAATCAAAGGAAAGTAGTAGCATTGTACCATCAGCATAAGATAGAACATAAGATGACATTGATAGTTGAAATAAATCCACAACATAAAGATTAAAAAGCGTCAGTCCTTAGATTTAACTCTAAAGTTCTGGAAATTTCACAGGGAGAAAATCTGAAATTTCACTCTCATTCAGATAAACTCTCTGGGATCGTGGCGAAAGATAACTGCGAATCAATCGTATTGCATTACTGGAAAGTCTATAGCAGAGACATTTTACCAAAAAAATCTCGTAAATGGTAGAATCAAACAACTATCATTTAGTCAAGGGACACTTTAAATAATACCTTCGAATTATTAGAAGCTTAAATGTCCTGATCAGATATCTGAAGAAGAGACGTTGTGACATAGAGCCTCCACGAAAACTCGACTGTGTCAACGGGATAGCCTAAGATTTATCCGCAATCGTCTATATTAATTTACATTTAATGGTAGGTAAGTTTTCACATGCAATTGAAAACGAAAATATTTGCTCTCTTTAATTTATGTTCAGTAGAACTTTAATTGTTTCGTTGAAGTTAACATTCGAATGCCCGCGCGGATGGCAAATTGCCAACCTAACCGGAGAACACGCTCTTTTGTGCTTACAAATCGACAACCTGATCGACCGGCCATGTATTTTACAGTTATTGTTCTTTCCATTAGCTACCGGTGATTCAAGACAATAACCTGCAGCGAGTTGCTTTGGGATCAGTGGCCAATAGGTACTTGACGATACAGTATTGCGATCATTTAGGTGGCCTGCGATTAAATTATTTAATTCATTTGACGGCAAAAATACTTAATATTGTGTGCGACCAATGCGGAAATGTATAAGTTTCGTACTCTTTCTTGAGCAGAATTCATTTCCCTCTCCTTTACTATAAATAGTTGAACCATGAATAATGATGCTACCTACAAGCGTTGTTTGCAACATTTGAAAACTATACATTTTTGCTCCCGTGTAATAGTAAATGTATTTGCATTGGTAAACAAACAGCGGTTTTGATTTTGTAGCATTGCAGATGAATAATACTTTCACCTTTCTTCTCTCGCAAATAGCTCAACGAAACGTGCACACATTTTATCGTATGGGTTTCGTGATCATACCTGCAACAAAAAATCACATTTTTATGTGTTATCTAAAATATAATATTTTGAATGTTTTGAATAACTCTCTCTTTGATAAAAGATCATTTCCGTATAATTTTTGTTTTTGAATATAACAGAATTCAATTTTTTAAAATTAACTTTTACTGGGACCTTATTTACTAAGGTGTATGCGATAGTTAACTGTATAGTAGAGCTTTTAGGAGATAAACGTAAATAAAGATATTGCTGCTTATTATTATAAAACGTTCAAAAGTACTTGTATTGTGATTGTTGTTGTGTATCAAGGTTGTTCGTTCCGGACTGATTGAGTGGTAATGTCGGGCGCGTCAACTGCTAAGGTCATTAGTACCGTAAGTGCAGTGCACGCTTTTAAATCGTGGAAGCTGACGAGGATATTCCCCCGGGGGATAGCGATATCCAACACTGACCTACACGGCAGCTAGCGGGCGGGCTTTCCCAGACCAGGCATCTCCCACCTGCGGGGCACTGCCCCATCCGGGATAAGCTCTAAGTTCCCGACTGCTCTCCCGACAAGTGTGGTTGTGTAGTGCATGTAAGTGTGTGTGTGTGTGTGTGTGTGTGTGTGTGTTTGTAAGTAAGGGGTGATGATTGGACGAGGAAGAGGAAGAAAAGATCGCGCGCGGTCCGTAGCCAGTTTTTTTTAGAGTAATGCTCCGTCATTCATCTGGTGTTGATCGGAGAAACCACGAAAAACTACCAACCAGAGCAAGAAGCCGCTAGAATTCTCTTAATGTTTTCAAATCACTGGATGATTGATGTTGATTTAGCTAAGATCGTTGAAGTATTGTGCGCTGCTGGCCAGAGGTATTTTTTTCTTGAATAGAGCAAGAATGTTTGTAAACATGATGCAGGTTCGATTTTCGGTCACACCTTTAAATTTTCAATAATTGCAAAAGTTTTGTTTTGCCTACATTATTGAAGTCTAGCAAAAGTACCTTTCGATTCCTGGATATTTATTACCCACAATCTTCGTTGAATGAATAAATGCATCTACAATATATCTCTGCCCCACTCACAACCACCCTGAATTGCCCTGCTCCGAACCTACTCCCTCCCACCCGCCCAACTTCAAATTTCCCTGTTCAGTTTGCCCCGCCCCATTCTGCGCCACCTGACCCGTCGGGCTCCGCCTGATCATGTTTACTGCGATTACCTTTGCCACCACCATCGTTTGCTATGAGGCGCAGTAAACAGATGTTTCGTTGTAAACTCCCGACAAACTTTCAGTAATAATTTTGATTACTTAAATCCTATCTACGCTGTCGAGATGAATGAGTAGTGCAACCATCTCGACGGCGATAGTAGGGGTAAAGTAACGCATGCATATTGCAGAAAATCTGATAGACTTTAGGATCGTTTTAATTCACTTTTGTGAATTACTCACTGTTTTATAAATATGCTGAAAGAAGTTGAAAGAGTGGTCACTTACATTTTGCTCTAAGAATTAGGAAACGGTGATAGGAATAATTTGTACGAAATATCATTTAGACAATAACTTTCCTCTTATTTTGAAAGTCACGTGTACAAAATTTAATTGAGATCAGCATAAAACAGAAGACATGTATGAATACAAACTTTCTTTATTTAAGAGAAAACAATTCGAAGAAATAACCTAAGTTATGCCCGACAAGTCAACTTTGAGTGAAAACCGCATTGAAATTGCTTCAGGCGTTCCAGAGACTACTACTGACAAAAAGAAAGACAGACAAATATCGTAAAAACAGTTGAAATGTTTTTTTATCTTTTATTTCCTCCACCTGTACCTCCCCTGAGGGGCAAACCGCCATCAACTAGGAAGGCCCACTACTGTGTCCGAAGCGGTCGCGCCGCATACCAGGGGGAAGCGCCGAGAAGCACCACGGCGCAGACTGCCTGCGCAAACGTGCAGAGCGATTGCCGCCCGCTGCCGTCCCTCAAACCGCAAAATGGAATTGCGCGCTGAGAAAACTACCGAACTGTACTCTCTGATGTTCCAATAGCACCGCATTTTATAGTGACCTGGACGGTTTTCAATTATGTATTGCTTATAGCGATCTCCTATCCGAAAAATCTTTCTTGGCAGTATGTAGTTAAACCATAAGTAATCTTATTCAAAAAACACAAGTTTCTATCTTGCTTCGGTTGCTCAAAAATTATGATACAGTGTTGGTGAAGCAGTACAATATGCCATAGATCTCTTTAATATACTGAACATTTTTCCTGAGCGTCTTGAAAAGCATAATATCTATATAAATGATTTAACTACATCATGTATAATTTAAGGAAATATCTGTAAATGTGTATGTATTTTTTTTAAATTTTGTGAGTTTCCACTGTAGCTTCTTTGCGCCAGTCGTACGGAAGTGGTGAGGTGAAGGAAAGGTTGACCGTTGCTGTGTGCTTGGTCCGCAGGGCGGCCCAGAAACTCAACCTGTCGTCGCTGCCGGCCCGCCACAAGCGGGGCAGCCGCGGGGCGGCGGCGCGCCGGAGCGGCTGGGCAAGCGGGGGCTTCTGCGAGCCGCTGCACCGCACGCCCCGCCCTGGCCCGCCCGCGCTGCATGCGCCGCATCGGGCCTGCGGGAGATCTCGGCGTGGGCCAAGTAGGCACCGGCGGCTCGCCCCTGCCCCTCACCCCGGTCCCCTGCTCTTCAGATCGAAGCAGCGCCAACGAAATGCCGAGATTGGATCCTTTTGCCTTACCCGTTGGGAGTAATTTGTCAGCACACTAGATTGACCACCCGCTCTTTTGCGTTCTTGTTAGGATGTTTTATCGGCTCCCACAAACAGCGAGGGTTTGACAGATACGTTAAATACATCAAACCGGCTTGTAATAGTACAGGAACACTAAATAAAAAAGTTGTCACACCTAAAGACGACACATGTAGTATGTCGTTGTATGTTTTGTGATTTTAAAAAAAAGTGGAGAGAAGTGGCGCTTCCAGCTCCAGATTCCGGCTCCAGATTCGGATTCAGCGGCTCCACATACATAGAGAAATATGTGTCAGGTCTTTGGGGTGGGCCTGTGTAATTATGGTCAAGGTGTTCATAAAATCACTGATATTTAGTAATGAACACGTCAACTCTAGCACAGTTATTACGAGCGTTACTTATGAACAATGGACATATAAACGCGAATTTACTAACAATGTTCTAGAAGTAGTACATCGAGGACAATGTTACTTTCTACCAATTTTTTTTTCGTTTCTACCTTTTTCTTAAATAATGTGCAACATTATTCTTTAATTTTCAATTTTAACGCTGCTTTGTGGTCTTAAGCCAATAAAAATTCTAATAGCAAAACAACTCTCGAGTGTTTTTTTATTTTGATAAATGTATACCTCGAGAGTAATTCGACATTAATAATTACTATCTACTGCGCGTCCTGTTATATATAAATGTTTATATCTCCTTGATTAAAAAACTGAATTATTCAAACTAGCTTCATTTTATAGATTATAAAACGAATTTTTATTATATGTGTACTAAAATTATATAAGAATTGAAATTGTTTATTTTTGTAGCCTTTTAACTTAAAATTATATTTTTTTAAGTCCGCAAACAAAAATTAAATATAAAAATATAACTAAATTGTCTTTCTTTTATTGTACGATTTTGCAAAATTTCAGAAAGGGATATGTATAAATACTGTTGCAATAAATTAACTTACCCAATCAAATGTGGAGGACAATGGCATCCAGGTTCACGCCGTATGAATTCAAATGCTCTCAGTCTATTTATCATTAAAATGAAAATGTAATACGTAGTTGAAATTGTAGAAGTAGTAGTTGAAGTTCATATTCATTCATTCATTCATTAATATACGTTTTACAAAAGTTAATAAAATAATAGACCCACGAAAGTGTATATTTTTGTATAACAAGTTTCACTTTTTCGTAACGGGATTGCAATAAGTCACATTCTTTTTTCTGGCCATCAATTGTCAAAAACATAAAATGAAAATCACTAACCTTTTTTGCGACTTGAATGCTTTCTGTGGTGTCGTAATTAGATAATGAAATGGCTGCAGATTTTCTTGATTAGCCAATCTTTTGATGGTGTCGCCAATTCCATTACTAGGCACTTTCCCATGCGAAGTAGCCAAGATATGCCATTCAGATTCACACCAAAATATTTTCGTGAAAACAAATTAACAAACATTTTCGGTTGTTATATTGCGCACTTGCTCCATCTGAAAAATATATTAATTTTTTGACTTTACCAACTTCAACGTTTAGAAATTCAATCAAATGTTTCTGGGAGAGGTGAACTGCATTCGTACCATGCTTTAGGCTTTCGAAAATTGTTATTACACGTTTGTGCCTTAGATGACTATTTTATTTGAAATATATAACAAAGGGGTGAAGTGTGACCTGGTTCATTATTCCAATGTGCTCCTTGCATTGAACTTTGAATGACGATGAAATAGGATGTCACACGCCTAAAATTTTTCTTCGTATATCTGTAACAGTGATCTTTGAGATTGAATGCATTAAAATGAAAGTCATGTCTAAAAGCGTGTAAATATGCAACCCACGGCGAATGGCGTCCGCGAAACGTGACTTGCATCCTTCCTTCAATCTTGGGTCACTGCGCACCTCACGTCTATATCCGAAAAGAATCATTGCCTCTTTAAAAGATGAATCAAGGGTTCAGACACGTGAATATCCCAAGGCGACACATCTGATATTGAGGTGGGGTTATGCATAACCACCATCACACTTTTCGGGTCATCGAGTCCTGCATAATGTACGCAAAATGAGGACGGGCATTGTCAAGCAACATGAGTCATGCAAGGTCACACTACGCATTCCATGAGGCTCAGTTCCGATTGCTTTAGCAATATCTCCAGTGTTTCTGTGTACCTTCCAATAATAGTGAGTTTAGGCTCCTTAAAGTCCGCGAACCTCTTGAGGCTAAGTCTCTTGAGGTCGAAAGCACGTTCAGCCTAATATTTTCAACCAACGCATATGTACCGTTCTGTTTTGGATTTGGGGAACCAACATGTTTGCTTTGCGGAATAGGTTATTTGGTCTATCATTATAAGGGCTGATCATCATTTCCACTTTATTTATTACATTAAAACAACTGAAAAGTTCGAAAAAGACAAAAGTTAAAATTGTTTTCGACACTCCGTCACAACTATATTATTGAAGCTAGATTTTACAATGTAAATTATTTTTTTCTTCAAAACTAGGTGTTTAAATGACGTCATGTGAAATTTTTTCAAACTATAAATAATTCTCGCGTAATTTTGAGTTAACTCCTGAAAATATTCCACAAATTCGTAAACCAGATTTTCTCAAAAACCACCCATTTTTTTCTTTTAAACGTTTGTAAAGAAAGAGCACACTGTATTTAATTCTAAGATATTAGATTTTATAAATTTGATATTTTAAAGGACGCTGTGGGTTCAATAGTTGTCTCAGGGTATCTGAACTATTGAGTGTCTCGCCAGCGAATGGTTAGCATGATTACTACAGAAAGGTATGTTCTCGAATTCAAATTTCTTCTCGGCCAAGCATTTATTTGTGTGTGAGTTGGGAACACTCTGAGACGCGTGTTGAATCAATGAGGTGATCCTCAATTTAAGTAACCAGTCGCTTGCCGCAAAAATTCAGTCAAATTAAAATGTATGATATTATCACGCGATTCAGCTAATATTATATCACGTAACAGTTGAAAATACCACAAAAAGTATGTGCAATTATAGCATTTATAGCATCCCTAGTTTATACATGAAAGTCGTGTATTCGAGTTAAAGTATCTTATAATTTCATCTATTTACTAATTTTCTATGCGCGCAGAAATTGGAAGAAAACTGTGCAGCCTCTGACAATGTGACATGTTTCTATGGTTTCGTTAGATACCGAGAAACTCCTCCGAGAGCTTCGAGAGCAAAAACTGAATTCTCATACTGAGTGCGTCACTGCTTACGAAACAACTGACGACATGTGACAGCAATGCCGCTAGTTAGAAGCCGCCTGCCATTAAATATTAGTTATTTACGTATTTCGTTATGGAACAGTAATATTTCCGATATTCTTGGCATGTAACGAACAGTTGTACTACATAAACATACGAAACTATGTTGTTGTAGTATTTGTGAAAGCTCTTTTTGTTAAAATATTTAATTTATTTCAGTGTCATACGAGCGCATTTTATTTGACCTTGAGCAGTGTGCGTGCTACTTGTCGGAAAACAATTTTGAATGGTTTTTGCTCAGCAGCATTTGTGCTGCTGTAAGTCACTCATTTTTCTATAATTTTCACATATATTGAAGATGTTATCCACAATCAAAAACAATATAGGCTTTTGTAGACACAATTTTAAAGAACAGTACACATAAATAACGGTAAATGTGGATCAGTGCATCAACTGATGTCACTCCGATGTCTCTGACCTGGAGGTCCTAGGGCTCAATTCCCGATGGTGACAGTTTCCACACTAGCTTGTTAGCAAGGTTAAATTCAGCCGCTGTCTGAGAAGACTCTATCAGCCGGCTGAACTGATCGGTAGTTTTCTGTGTTTTCTGCGATCAATACCAGGCAAATGCCGGAGCAGTGCTCTAACAAACGAGCCACGGGCCGCGCGCGATCTTTCCTTGTCCTATCCTCATCACTTAGTGACACACACACTCAAATGCACTCCACTACTACATATGCCGGGAGACTTGTCTGGAGCTTATAGCTTGTCCCGGCTGGAGCGGTGCCACGCTGGTGGGAGATACTTGTTCTGGGAAAAGGCCGTTAGCCGACGGCAGGTCGACGCCGTACAGCGGGGGAAAGAGTACCACCTCTCCTGCGATAAAAGCACACTTACGGAATCAATGACCTTAGCAGTTGACGCGATCGGAATCATCAATCAATCAATAGAAATGAATGGAAAAATGCTCATTCAATGGCACATGATGTTAAATATACAAAATATATCAATATTTATGATTTGATATTTTGAGAATATATTTAAAATACTGAGATGTACGATTTTGCAATGATATGTTTTTCATTAATATACTGGCTTGGTTAATACATATATTTTAAGTTTCTCAAAAGTAACACGTGTAATAGTAATGTTCTTCCACTCACTCATTCTGTTACGTGTGAAAGATTGCAAGGTCTCCGCCAGGGATATTTTGACACGTGCGGGAAGTGTGGTTAAGCGATGCAGCGCACGCATTGAAACCGGAGGATATGTGGAGTAACCGCCGTGAGAGTTATGTGCAAATATCAATAAAATTTGTTAAACATGTAAGGTAGTACATATTTGATCTAACCTATCACATGCGGCTTTGTGAACTAAGCCGCAACTTAGATGCACAGCATTGCCCGGAAGCTAAAAGTAGCCCACCCCAAAGTGCTTTCATGAAAACCCTTGTTAAAAGTTCCCTCTATTCGGAGTTCAAAATCGACAAAATTACGAAAAGGACACGCCTAGTTTCGCCGAGCGAGAGTCGTCTGTCATTCGCTGCGCATAGCCCTGTGAAGGCGGAAATGAAAGAGCCGTAGGCGGTCCATTATCACTGGGCGCTGCGATTCGCTTCCCCGTGGCGTTTCAGGGAAGCGTCCTAACGATTGGAAGCTTAACAAAAAATAACCATTT